GATGAATCTTAACGCATCGTATGCATATGCTGATTGACGTCGCTAAAATACGCGAGGGCATTAATTTAAAATACGCTATGCATATAATATCGATTTTATCAATATTTTTAAAAACTCGAAGACTTAGTAGTTAGTCTTGGGATTATAACGATAACATCGGTTGCTATGAGTAAATTGATTTTTAACCGAATAATAAAGATATTTCCCGAAATTCGTTTCAGACTTTGATAGAAATTAATAATTCTATCTACATCTTTGACCCGAATGAACAACTTAAACGAATATTTTATAATAATTTGATCAAAATTTATTTTTGTCAAAGGCTGCTTGAAAAAATCCATCTCGTGTAAAATAAATTTTTTAAATATCTGGTCAAAGGCACCTTAATTTCTTTCACGGTTTGTGTTGTGCATGGACAAATGGAAAGAAACACTTTGTGGTGCATACATTATTATGGAACGCGGTCGTACTTTTGCGATACAGTGAGAGAAAACATTTGCAGATAAGACTCGCCCTATCACACGCATTTCAAGTAGTAAATGCACGTGAGGTTTGCGAAGCGTGGGGTGGTTTGTGTAATGTCAGCAACGATTACTGCTTTATCGAAAAAATGGTAGTGAAATCGCGACGGTTATCCACGTCGTTGGTTCTTCTTTCAGTATCCGATAGATCATACGAACTAATTCTCTCTTGACACGGAATTTCCTTGAAGCAAATAACGATCTCTCCACATCTTGTTTGAACGTGTCACGATGTATAACGATCTATAAGATTGGGTGATATGTAGCTGTTTAAATGCGAGTTCCCGTTTATATCGTTGTTAAAGAGAAAAGATAGTAATATTCCTACTTTTTCTATAAAAATATGTTTATATTTTATTATTATTCTTTCATTTTAAAGATATAGTTCGATATAGTAGTGAAAAGGAACATTTTTAAAACTTTTCTACGATCATCGAATCGACAAATCATTTCTTAGAAATGCAAAACTTTCAAGGAAACTCTCTGAAAGAAGTTTAGTAACAAGTGAGACGAATATTCTTGTAGTCCATAAATGGCTTGCCATCTCAATGTCATTCGTTTACCCCACGAGCGTTAACCCATAAAGGTACTGACCCGAGAATTCTAGGCAAAGCTGTATAAACATTAACGCGATTGATTCCTGGTAAATCGGTCAGGCTATATTCATTGTCAGTCAGACGAGACGTAGATATTGTTCACCCTTTTGAGTCTCATCTTGACCGTCACTAGCAATCCGTTGGTCTACAGTCTACGATGAAAAAAGATGAGGATCGTACTCCCTCACAGATAAGTTGAGCACGACTTCTAGAGGACTTCTAAATTTATAAACGTATTTTGTAATGCGAGCTGTTACCGTACCGGCGTCGATAATCCGACAGTAAAGGCACAGGGAATTTCGACATGTTCGCAATTTACAATTTTAATGGGAAGAATCGAATGCTAGAAAAGATATATCGATCGATGTATATTTGAAAAATGTGGTGATACTTTAGACAAACGTCGGAAAAGATTCAAAAATATTAAAAAGATTAAATAAACGTGTGCTTTGGAGATAATTTTGGAGATTAAAACAAGGATGTTCGATGCCTTAATTACTTCTAAATTTGATTTATTCATCGTCATATTCTTTTATTTATTAGGTAAACCCTCTTTGCATTCTTTCGCTTATTCGTGAACAGGTCGTATCTGAATTCTACATATTTGCGCATACGCTTGCACTCTAGAATGTAATGTAATTTTAAACGCATCAAAAATTAAAGCTGGCTTAAGTAAGTTCCGCCAAATTAAGCAATGAAAGATAAAAGATGTAGTAGATAACTTTTAAAGTTTCCACAATATTGACGTAAAATTACACGCGGTAGAAAAAAGACAGGAAATGTTCGATAATTTTAAACTTTCTATATTTTGAAACTAAATTAATTCGCTCCGATTTATAACAGCTTTTAAACTATTTACCAAATGTGCTGAGCACGAAAAGTCTGGCGTAATATCGATAAAAAATTCCATGATTATATATGAACTTCGATAATAGCTTCTGTCGATGTTAAACTATCCGTTACTGTAAATTACTTGTATCTAAAGACATAATTCTTCGCAAATTCTCACCGAACCGATTATGTACCATTAAAAGATCATTCTTTCATTTAACATTTTTCTAAAGTTCTACAAATTTTGTCGATTATTCGAACAACAGAAAATTTCGAAATCCTTTGCGATTCTAAATAAGTGGTAAGCAGCGTCACCGTGAGGATGAACCGGTGAACTAACCTCATTGATTTTTCGCGCGAACGTGCCGCCGCCACTGTCGTTTACCAAATAAGGAGAGGGCTCGAACCGCGCCACTACACAACGCAACCCCTTACGAACAGCAACATGGCCGTCCGTTGAATGACAGTTGTTGCACTCGGTACGCGTACTTGTTGACCATCCCCAGGTTTCGACGTGCACCTGTCAGCGTCATGTATTCGCGTTTTCGAGCGCGATCACGCCGACTCTTCTTCACGGTGAGTTTCTGAAGGAAACTTTTTCACATATTAACAAAATCATCTTTCGTGTCACTAAATCGTTGTCATCCTCTTTTCGGCTTTCGAACAGGAGAATCTGCCGGTTCTTCCGACTATTTTATTAATTTTTGTCTGTTCGTACATTTGTGTGTATAGATATTTTTATTTCTTCGAGGATAGGTTTTTCTTTGTGCTTTAATTCTAACCAGAACGCGTGCCACGAGGTGATTCAGTTAACGCGATGTCAGATGGTTCGAATGGTTTGTTTGTACGATTGATCGTGAGGGAATCGCTCCGTTCGGCCAAGAATCGTTTCGTTAGCCTACGATGGTACGAAAACGGAGATTATCGTATCCCTACTGTGATAACATTTTGCGATCCCGGATACGCTTCTGCGTCGAATCATCGGTGGAATTTTCAACGTAAACATTTATCGCATTTATGGGAGTTATCCTCGATTGCATCCGATACGCGATCGAGCCAGCACCGTGTTGGAAGAAACGGATAATACATAGCTTTACGATAGATTGTTACTATGTAAATAGTTTTAATAAGAACGAATGGGAACTGATCTTGCGAAGGATCGCTGGCTAATTAGGTAGATCTAAGCGGCTCAACGTGACAAGAGAAGTTCGTTAACGAGACACACCGTTTTCTGCTAAAAATAACGGAGACATTCGCCGGTACGTTGGAATCTCTCCGTGCCCAATTTTAGATCTAGCAAACTCGATCGTTGTCCCCTCACGTGTGTGACAAGCATTCGTCGAGCGTTTCCAGCATTTGTCAGGGACTTTATCGTTACCATGTATCATTGATTACACGTTGCACGATAAAGGAACTTCTCATTCCATCATTCAAGTACGATTGCATTCCGCGAGTGAAACTTAATTGCCTTTTGCAAGGAAAGTTGATAAGGTTCTCTTGTTATGTCACGGAGAACTAACAAACCAGTTTCGCTGGTAATTTAAACTTATCTTTATCTAGCTCTTCGTTTCTAATTGCTTTTCATCCAAAACTCGAGTTTCTCTTCTACCACCGGAACAAATTTCTCCGCCTCTACTGGTGTTAATTTCTCTACGTTGAAACATCTTCAGTCCAGGAATTGAATACAAACGCAAAATTTTGTGCTATACCAACGAATCCTTTGAAATAAATGCTTCTAAAGTAAATACTTTTAACCTCAAGTAGCATCATCGCCAGAAAGTTTCGATTAATTTATTTAATATTAGAGCATTACGTTTTAATTAGTATTCTGTGTTTTACGCGATAAAGAACATAAACGGCGTTTAAATACATAATACGTATCTTAATTCCGAATGCCTGAATAACGAGCAGAGAAGATTGTATAAGAGAAATGAAAATTAGAGATTTTTAACGAATACTCACACGATAGGTGGTAGTCAATAAAGATTATAAATATTTTAACGGAAAGCAGATATTTATTAGCTTCTATATTGTACGAATTTTATTTTACTCTCCCAAAAAAATGCAACCTTTGGATTTCCATATCATTTTTCACACAATCTTTTACTCATTTCACATTGTTTATTCTATTCCATATATATGTGTCTATTTTTTAATTCTCTTACTGTCTACAGTATCAAGCAAACGTTTGGTATGGGACGCTAAATTTTAAAAGTTTTAAGATTAAATAAGCTAACCAGTATTTATTCCGAAATCTCATGATATTACCTATGACCCAACGAGGGTAAAAGTTGAGGGTGAAAATCAATCAAAGCTTACGGTGGTAAGTTGGCCTTGATAGGCACGAGAGGCGTTAGTCCTTGAAATCTTTAGCCGTTCCAGGTAAGGTCAATACAGATTAACTCTATTAGTTGGAATTAACAGAAGGTTCATCCCTCGTTGACGAGTTCGCAGAACTCATTCGTTCTGCGTTCCCGATACAGACACGCGGCTTGCCTAATCTGCACTTACACGTACGTATATACGTACGTACAAGCACGCGTCGTTTGTCTGGAATTAACACTTCGACATGTACGCGCGGATCAGCGCAGTGATCGAGTCAGAAATTCAAATTCCGCTGTGACTCCGTGCAGTAACGACGCAAACTCCGAACGCCAGGCCAACTGTCTCACACTCTCTTCCACTCAGACTGTTTTTGATAGGTTTTGGCACTCGTTCGACCGTCCTTCTACCCTCGTGATATACCCATCAACCAGTTTTCCCAAGAGTGTTCTCGATTTTCGTGATATTCCAACTTTAGATAAACTTCGTATCATGGGGAAACTCTCATTAGAGTTTGATTAAACTTTGATTAGAGACCGATTTTAAAGCTCTACCATTTTTTTCCAGTTCTACGTGTAACTTTTTTGTAAGGATAAACGCGATAAGTTGTTTAAAAGGAGACTAAATAATTTGTTGGATAGATAAAAGCGAGTAGCAGGTTGTGATATTTCGTTTTAACGAGCTGTTAAATTTAAGGAGACTTTAATATGTGTGTTTTCATCTGTTACAGATGTCTTTCATTTTGTAAATAATACTGAATGAAAAGAAGTATCAGACTGAAGATGGGCAAGCTTTTGAGTCTTTTGGCTCGAGACGAGTCTACCTGTTGCACGCCTCAAAAGTACGATGTCTTTTTGGATTTCGAAAGTAAGTTCGACAAGCACACTCGAGCGGAAACGTTCCTTTCGATCGTAGTTCTTGCACGTTGAATTTGTCGTTTACGATGCTTTCCAACTTTTATTTGACAACGCAGAACGTTGCGCAATATCGTACTGTTTGACGTTTGTGAAGAAAGCTTGTTTTCAAAGACTAATAGTTGGCTCTTATCAAATTTTTTTAGATGCACAACCTTCTGAGATAGAGCGGGAGACCTTTGAAGCGGTGCAAAGGGTTCTGAAAAATTCAGAATCTATCTTAGAGGAGATTCAGTGCTACAAAGGGGCAGGGAAAGAAATCAGAGAGGCGATTTCGGCGCCCACGGAGGAATGTCAACGAAAAGCCTATCTGACTGTCGCCCCTCTGGTTGCGAAGCTCAAAAGATTCTATGAATTTTCATTGGAACTTGGTGAGTGTTAATCTCTCATATACACATTCCTTTAATCATTTCTTATATTTTGAAACGTCTTAGACCATTTTATAAAACCTCGTTTCATTAAGCGGAGCGTTTATCGATATTATCAAAATTGATTGTTTAAAGTAGCACGATATATATATATATATATATATATATATATATATATGTAATAGTCAATAAATATTTAATAGTAAAACGCCAGAGGTGTCTTACGTCGTATCTTATACGATAAACAAATAGAAGATTACGTAAGCATAAAGGTAAATTATTTCCGTATATATGTATATGTTATCGTGGGTAATTGAAAAATTGCGGATCCACAAGGCTACTGGCTGTGCGAGGGCACCTTAACGCAGGTTTATTCAAATAAATTCTCCTATGACACGATTAATTTTCCTCTCGAAGACTGACCATTATTCTTTCCGAAGCAAAAACTATCAGTTCCTTAAAAATCCGTGGTACAGGCCTGTCGCGTTTTTAAACGAACATTTATTTTTTGTATAGTTTTAATTACGATGTCATTCGCTGAAATTAAATAAGAACGTAAGAACCTAAATGTCGATACTGGTTCAGCAACGAATCGCCAGGGATTGTTGTTTAGCCTCAATGTAGCCTGAATATTCCGGTTCACACGGTGATTGGAAATCCAATATCGTTGCATCGGCACCAGCGAAACTCGCAACCGCTTATAAACTTTAGGGGCATTTATTGCCTTTATTTTGCATAACGTAGTAATAGTTATCCAAGTGGAAGTGAAAATGTTGCTACCTCGTGAACTATTAATACCAGAAGCATATCATCTGGACAGAATCTTTCTTTCATAAACAAATCTGGAAACTCGGTAATAAAAAGGATAAGGTAAAGAGTTAAAACGAACTTCTTCGACATTTTTTGCTTACTGACCTTTATATTCCTTGAAATTTGAATATTTCTTCTTGTGCAGTTTGAAACTAGTATTTTGCATAACTTATTATTACGTAAGATTTTAGTCAGGTAAATTAAGAGCTAATAGTAAAAAGACGAATACTTTATGCTGAAACGACAAGGCAATCATGTAACTTGCGATCAGCGAAAAAGTGATTTCACGTGAAAAAATAAATTTACAGCTTGGAATAAAAATTTTGTTTATCTAAGTGTCCCTCTTTTATTTCGAATATCATTTAAGAAAGAGGCAAGGTGATCTCAGTTTTTTATGGAAAGGAAGTTTCCTTATGCATTAATAAATTCTTAATTTTATTCCAACGAACGATGTCAGCGAATTTATCTTTGTAATACTTTTTTTTATTTAACTAATAAAATCAGTTGAAACACCATGGCAACCGATTCATAGATAATTCTGCACACGTGTAGTAAACAGAAAAGAATTCTTAACCATCCGACGAAGTAGCAAAAAAAGCAAGAGAAGGAACAAATTGTTCGAGTTTAAGAACCGTAAGGCTCATCTTGCAACTGGTTTGATATTTTCCAGAAAAGGTAGTACCAAAGATCCTGGGTGAACTATGCTCTGGCAACCTCTCGCCGACCCAACATCTCGAGACTCAGCAGGCTTTGGTGAAACAGCTGGCAGAAATTCTGGAGTTTGTTTTGAAGTTCGATGAACACAAGATGAAGACTCCCGCTATTCAGAACGACTTCAGTTATTATCGAAGAACATTGACCAGAGCATCCCTGGCGCGGCAGGAAAACGCCGAGAAGGACCTCGTGGTTGGAAATGAACTCGCCAACCGAATGTCCTTGTTCTACGCCCACGCGACACCCATGCTTCGTGTTCTGAGTCACGCGACCATTACTTTCTTGATGGACGTAAGTGGTATTGTTTCTCCTTTTTGAACTCTCCCCTATCTATGCATCGTTTCTCGACGATTATCGACCTATTCGCACGCCAATCGATATTGATTGCCAAGAATTCCGATTGAATGGAATTAATAGAAACTAGTACTTTGTAATAGAAACGAAAAATATCGTTTCTCGTTTGTGAAAAAATCCTTTTGCTTATATTTCCTAAGAAGATATACGTTTTCCAACTTGCCATTCTTTCTTTCCAGTTTGGATGACTACTAGGATTTTGTGATTTGACTAGAATAAACATTTTTGTACCTGAATGTCTGTTTCATAATATAATTACAGTATGTTTCGTTGCATATTTTTGACACTACGATAGTCAAATAAATAGAAACGACACAAACGAAGAAAACAATTTTATAAAAGTAGAGGTAATCAAGTTTCATACCTTTTATGCGTAGAATTTTTCAGACGTAATAAAAGTTATTTAAATAGCTCTTTTATTCATTATGTCACGTAAATGTTTCCTGAAAAGGACTTGGCAAATTATAATGGGCAAAGGAATAGTGCACATTCTGTGGAACGTTGTTTCAAGCAACAAGTAAAATTCTGACAATTTTCGCGAGCTTTATCGCCTTTGAATCATGCTTTAAAATCGACTTTGTTTCCGGGAGTAAACGAGCAAAAAGGTAACTTACAATAGAGAGAAGAGAAACGCGAAAGGTCTGTAGAATCTTGAAAATAAATTTACCTGCTTCGGCAACACTGAATAGGCGGTATTGTCGCAAAATCCATTCTTCAAGCACACGTGTGTACGCATAGAGTATATGTGTGTTTATATATATAGTTGGCTTTCTACTCTACGCAATACTAGACACTCTGCTTTATATCTTGCCTCGTAATTAATAATTAACTTTCCATTTTTCATCCCGTCTTCATTTTGGAGGAGGACAAAAGAACGTTGCGTTTCCTCGTCTAAATATTAAAACGGGGTAGCTTCGTTAACGGCACGAAACGCGCGGAGGGACAGTGTACGAAGAAAATAGGTCGATATAAATAATGACAGGCACTGAAGCAGAAAATTAAAAGCTATTATTCCAAGTGATTCAGGGTAAAACAGTTCTCGGAACATTTACCCGCATAATGGATAACAGATTCATTCGCAATAAATCTGTAGATGTGTATTTTAATTGGTACCACAGAGGAAGTGGTTATTCGTTTTACGATATAGTAAGTACTATTAAATACTGTGTAAGCCTTCAGCTTACGAAGAAGCATTTTTCATACTGTGTAGTATATTATCGTGCGTAATTTGTTGACTCGGATATTCCTTTTCCTACGAAATTAAATAATTAATGCAAGCATAAAAGGATAGTGCAAGTTTCGTATGTGTATGCTTAACAAGACTGTTCCAAACAATTCTACGTTATGTCGATACAATAAGCCAGATAATAGGTACAGAACACACGATAGAAGTTTAGAATAATCGACGTACGATAGATCGATACGATTCGTATCCGCATTCGTATTGATAATATTACAATTCCTTGTTCACCTTAGACGATTATCGTTACAATAGCTGGTGACAGCTGCAAGAAAGAATGACAGAAGTATCGAGAATAGAGCAGTATGATATACTATTGCCGTAATATTTATATTTTATTGTAATTTGTAGAAAATTTGTACTATATTAAATTTCAAATATTTCGTATTTGTTTCAGAACGAAGATGTAGCACGCGAAAACATCACCGAAACGCTTGGTACCATGGCCAAGGTTTGCCTGCGCATGTTAGAAAATCCGTAAGTAATGCATTGAACTGGCAGTCGAGTCGAAAGAACATTCACTTAGTTTAGAGGAAAAGATTTCTAAAGAAAGATAAAGAAACAACAACAATTCCAGATGAGATATGTTATTGTTCTTAGGAATCTACTGGCGCAATTCCAACGGGAGGAAACTCAACTCTTTGTTCTGAGAGTGATGGTAGGGTTAGTGATCCTTTATGATCACGTTCATCCCCAAGGTGCCTTTGTTAAGGGTTCGAATGTCGATGTAAGTATTAACGTTTATTGCTACGTGTATTGAAAAATGGATATATTTAATATTTCCCTGACGTCAGTTGATGGATCGACCTATTTTAAGAAATACTTTAAAAATATATGTAGCAAATACGTGATGAAAGGACAAAATATTCTAGATATTTATAGCCGAACAAAAATAACGTCGGGTTAGATTATATTTATAGGAATAAGAATCCTAGTATATCTATAATTATATTATTTATGATATTATTATACATATAATTTAAAGCTTTATATTGAATTTAAACACGAGATTCTTGGACACATACTTGTATGGTTTCCACTAAAAGTATATTATTCTTTCAGGTTAAAGGCTGTGTGAAGCTGTTGAAGGATCAACCACCCTGCAAAAGCGAGGGTCTTCTAAACGCTCTCCGTTATACTACCAAGCACCTGAACGAGGAGAACACACCAAAAAACATCAAGAACCTGCTAGCAGCATGATTACCGAAGCAACGTGGCTGCTGCATCAGAAGCTGAGACAGTTGGCTGCTGATATGTCAGAAGCTAAACGAGCGATGCCATTTATTTTGTGTAGCGTCACGAGGATATCGAAGATGATATCCTCGGCGACTCCACATGATCCAAGAGCAATCTCCTGTTTCCGATCGTGGCTGGGTGGTGGACCACTAAAAACGTGTCTTTCGTAACCGAGTCTATAGCTGCCCTAAAACTGCCGAATTCTACATACCTTCTGACAAAAAAAAAAGATAAAAATAAAAAAAAAATAAAAAAGTAAAAAAGACAGGTAGGGAAATCGTAGAAAGGCAAAAAGAAGAAAAAAAAAAATATCGAAACGACTGAACATTGGAGGAATTGCTAAACTCGTTCTTAAGCGATGCCTTTATCGCCGTTACGAGTGCGAAAACATCTAGGAATTATTATTATAATATTACTATCTCCCTCTCTATCTCTCACATACGGACACACAGACACACATGATACCTTGATTATTATCGATCATTATTATTATTGCGATTTTTGACGTTTATTCCAGTTATTATTGTCATCCGAAGTATTATTGCCCTGACTAACTTGTCACCACGTGTATTAACATTGTATTTGTCTTCCCGGATCAGGGAGGAAGGGATCGAGTTAATTAGAGCATATCAATAACATATATAGGATAATTTTCAATGATTGCAGACGATTCGCAGTGTTACAATGAGAGGTTTAAGAACGTTGTAAGATATTACACAGATCTTTACCAATTGTTTTCGTTGTTGAATGGTTGTCATCCGGGCGAAGAGACGATCAAAGAGAAATTGTTATAAATACTGGGACTGGATATCGATCATTGGAATCGAAAATCGGGAATGACTCATTATCTTGTCTTCTTAATGTCAATATATTTATTATAGATTTGTTTTATCTCTCTATTAATAGTTGAGACAAATGTACTTTCTTCTTTCAAAAAGAATTTATGTTGCTGTATTTCCTCTCATTTTTTTCAGCTTTTTGTTCGTTTTTATATAATAGAGAATTAAGAACCAAAGATGTTGTTATGCTAACGTTTATATACCTATCATTGATTTTATTATAAATTTGTTATTGCAGTATTTCCGAGAAACACGTTATTTATACCGCCAGTGAAAAAAGTTATCGGTTGACGCGAATATATATACTTTGCCATGGGGAAAAATTGTCAATGTTCTCGCGACAAACAAATTCATATGTGAACGACATTGTTGTTGGCGCGGGCATCGCGTCGCACACTCTTTTTCTAAGTGCACATTTAAGAATTCTAAACGTACGTGACCGATCTACAGTGTAGGTTTTCTTGCATCAAGAATTTTACTATTTAGATATCCGATGTTATGAAATTATATTATTTAGTACGCTATCCGTTCCTAAAAGCTGTCTGGCGCGCTTTGTGAAATTATAGTAAAGTTACTATTAATTAAAACTAGTACGAAAAATGATTAAGAAGTTTCTTGTCTTTTGTATTTGACCAAGCTATTTAATGATTCGAACTTAAATTTAAAACAAGGTTCTTAAAAATACCTACGATTGCACATTCCATTTTGGATTCTAAATTTAAAAAACAGGTGGACACGAGACGGCTTTTAAAAATGGAATTCTCAAGCGTTAGTTATAGTTTGAACTTTTTCAGTGATATTTATTATAATCTTGCGATTGTTGCTTTCATACGAATCTAATTACGGATACATCTTTTTACTTTTACTACATAATTGCGTCTTTTACATCTTTTGATACCGTTTTGCAAGACAGACTGATGACAAACTATTTTCCGTATAGCATTTCATGTAACTTATAAATTGCTTGTTGTAAGCTTAATTATCAAAAAATCGATTGATCGTTTTTAATTAACAGTATTCCCTTGTTTGTCTACCATTTAATGAATGTAATTTATATAACTTTATAGTGTGTAGTACATATACTTCTTCCTATGTAGACAAATTTTTTAACTATAATAACAAATAAGAGCAATAATTAGACTTGCGAATCTAGTTTTGCATCGAAATTTAAAATATTTTAGAATAAATTATAAGTAAAAATTCTTTAACTTAATTTTTAACTGATATTACTGAATGGCCACAACAGTTTGGGTTAGATTTAGTTCGGTTTAGATTATATTCAGATTACTTAATTGCAATTCGTATTTTATATCTTACACGATTGCACGTGTCATCGATGATATTTATCGATTAAAACACAGAGTACGAAATCAAGTGCTTTAAAATGAAATAATTTAACCTAAACTGCTGTTTCGATCACTTTTCTAATATTCAACGATATTAGTTGAGAATTAGAATTGAAATAGAAAGAGTACTCTATGTAAAATTATTCAATTTGCGCTGTTTTTATGCACAGTGTCGGGTAAAAGAAAGTTTAGAAGCGATAGAGTACGACAAATTACATTAATTTAATAAATGGAATTATATTTACGAAAGCGATGAATTGTCCATTGTATTTGGTAAATACAATAGATGACTGTTAACCAAATGATTAAAAGTGTCTAGTACAAAAAATAAACTTTCCTTTATATACGTCGCTGTATAAAGAAAGTAAAAACGTAATAGCAAATATTATACTTCCTCCTTCTAAATATGCAGATTATACTTGTACTCGTATGAGTGTCGCGTTTATCTTCCAGCGATTTTCTTAAAAATGATCAATCGATGTTCCATTTTCTTAATCACAGCACGAACGGAAAAAAAGACGGTTGCAAGATTCCGACGTTTATCGTAAAATAAAGGAAATGTTACTAACGTAGTTATAGAAATATATTGATTTTTACAATCGCGTTAATGATCGATACTCAAAGGTTTGTTACGCTTTCCTCGATCCGAAAGTTTAGCTGCATCGTTTGTACAAAAAGGATCAACGAGGGAGCACGAAGGTTACATAAAAGAAATTTAATATAATAATACGAATATCTCGTGGAATACTACTTTCAGAGCGTAAAGAAAGCTAAATTCTACGTACAAGATAAAGATACCTGTGTGCGACTGAAAAATACAAACGTACGAACACATTTTTTTATAAATACAAATATTTGTATTTGCCTGTCGGTGAATTTGCTACGAATGTTAATTTAATCATGACTGTCTGAGAAGAAACGAAATTTATAATTCTATTGTACGCGCGTTTTCATGTGAATGTATCTTTATTTTAAACAGAACGTGACGATATTTCTAGAAACGTCGTCAAATCTATTCTGATACAATAAGTTGAATTAAGCTTATGTTTATTCAATAGATACGTTGTGCACAGAATTTCGGTTTCTCAGTGTATTTATGTTTAAGTGACATTCATGATCAATACCTTAAGATTATTGCGCTATATTATCTATTTACAAACATTGTTACTTGAAAATGAAATTGTAGAATCCCGAAAGTTAATAAAATACATTATATAAATACCTCGTGTTTTAATAATATAAAAGTGAACAGCACATATTCTAAAGTCCAAAATTCCATATCTTGTATGCGATTACGAGACATATCCTATAGCCTATTCACAATTTCACAGGAAAATTTAGTTCTAATTCCATCCACTAGATATGCAACGCTCTTATTCTATACTGTATCGGTAATGTCGCATGTGACAAAATTTGTTTGATCACAGTCGATACTATCAACACGTTATCTACAGTTCATAATATAGAAAATGTTCGTATTTATTCTTAACGTTCGTCGATAAGATTGTTTTCTGAGTTAACGACAAAAATCTCTCTAAAAAACTTAGTACATAGATCCGTCTGCAGGTGGTTGAAAAAAGGTCAAAGCCCGCCATTACGCGACGCCACGGCGGTTATTAAGGCGCAATTCTTTAAATATTGATTGAAAGTGGGTTGGAGTCGGTGGGCGGAAGCTCAAGGTGGACGGAGGGAAGGGAGGAAGAGGTGGAGGTTAGACGAACGGACGAGATGAGATGAGAAGGTAGATGGGAAGGGAAGATCGTCTATTATATATGATGGGCGCGGCCGGTCTCTATGGATTTTTTCTCCCATTATAAATGCGGCCTATTTCACAGATAAATTTTTAATTATCGGCTCGTTTAAATGTTTAACGAAGGATCACGCGTTCGTTTATCATTCGTATCGTGGTATCGAACATTTTTTGAGCGTGTTTATCGTTGAATTTTGTGGGGTAACTTCGATCCGAGCTTTGAATTCTTATTTCGCGCACGTTGGATGAAAAAAAAAAGGTTTAAAGGATCGCATCGTTGATTTTTCCATCAATCATTGTAGAATATTTAACATATATTTCTCGGACAGTATATGCATTCAAATACTCGAAGGAGAAAAGATTATCATACGAGGCGATCGTATTATGTATTCCGTAATACGCTCGCGATCGAAATTCCTTTTCCTTAACTGTATTATACGTTTCACAGTGAATTTAAATAATCGAGTATATTCGATATTTTGGAACTATCTTGTAGAAACTTTTCATTTTCAATACGAATAAATAATTCGACTATTTAGTTGCAAGAAATCAATATCAAGATGTTACTATTTACCATATACTGTTGTAAATATTATTCGGCAATTGCGAATCGATATCAATCGATCTGCACGAATCATTGTACACGATAAACGACTTCCTATAATCCAATAAAAAGATAGACCGATTCACATCGTGTTTCAGAAATTTTAACAATCGTAACATCTCATTTCCTCTTTCATCGCGTTAAATACATCGAATTGCAGCTTGGAACGATGAAATCGTTTCTGACTGAGCTCTCCAGCACTCGCCAGCACGGCCATGTTCTCGAAGGCGTCCAAGAATGTCGCTTGGCTGTTGTTTTGCCTTTAGCGCGACCGCCACCGCCATCAGTACCACCCTTACAGAATTTTCTTTCCCCGTCGAGCTGTAAACCCCACCACCCCTCAACTTTCACACTACCCGTACCGGCGATCGTTTCTCTTTTTTTCAGCTCGAAAGTCGACAACGCGAGAGAGATGGAAAGAGGAGGCAGGGACCCCTATGGATTTTTTCCGTACCGCGAGTTCGCCCCCCTGTCGGTGCTTACCCCGCCATCCCTTGTCACGATCGGTCCACGATGTTTTAAGGGCTCGAGCAACCCCTGGCGAAGGTCCTAAAAAAAATTCAACCCCCAATTTGTAGGGTTGGCGGCCTGTTTAATTGCGATATCCAGTACCTTTTCGCGATTCATCTTATTTTTTCCAGCGGTTTCGTTTTCTCTCAGTCTGTCCCTGTCTGTCGTATCGTGGCTTTTCACTTCTGTCTCTCTGTGATTTTCGAGGCGTCGAGCTGGCTCATAAGGGTT